GAAAGTGTGTGTTCTGACGGTGGTTCTGTGTGTGTGTGTTCTGACGGTGGTTCTGGAAGTGTGTGTTCTGACGGTGGTTCTGGAAGTGTGTGTTCTGACGGTGGTTCTGGAAGTGTGTGTTCTGACGGTGGTTCTGTGTGTGTGTTCTGACGGTGTGTGTGTGTGTGTGTGTGTGTGTTCTGACGGTGTGTGTGTGTTTGTTCTGACGGTGGTTCTGTGGGTGTGTGTGTGTGTTCTGACGATGGTTCTGTGTGTGTGTGTGTGTGTTCTGACAGTTGTTCTGTGTGTGTGTGTGTGTGTGTTTGTGTTCTGACGGTGGTTCTGTGTGTGTGTTCTGACGGTGTGTGTGTGTTTGTTCTGACGGTGGTTCTGTGGGTGTGTGTGTGTGTGTTCTGACAGTTGTTCTGTGGGTGTGTGCTCTGACGGTGGTTCTGTGTGTGTGTGTTCTGACAGTTGTTCTGTGGGTGTGTGTTCTGACGATGGTTCTGTGTGTGTGTGTGTGTGTTCTGACAGTCGTTCTGTGGGTGTGTGTTCTGACGATGGTTCTGTGTGTGTTCTGACGGTGTGTGTGTGTGTGTCTTCTGACGGTGTGTATGTGTTTGTTCTGACGGTGGTTCTGTGTGTGTGTTCTGACGGTGTGTGTGTGTTTGTTCTGACGGTGGTTCTGTGGGTGTGTGTTCTGACGGTGGTTCTGTGTGTGTGTGTTCTGACAGTTGTTCTGTGGGTGTGTGTTCTGACGATGGTTCTGTGTGTGTGGGTGTGTGTTCTGACAGTCGTTCTGTGTGTGTGTGTTTGTGTTCTGACGATGGTTCTGTGTGTGTTCTGACGGTGTGTGTGTGTTCTGACAGTTGTTCTGTGGGTGTGTGTTCTGACGATGGTTCTGTGTGTGTGTGTGTTTGTGTTCTGACGGTGGTTCTGTGTGTGTGTTCTGACGGTGTGTGTGTGTTTGATCTGACTGTGGTTCTGTGGGTGTGTGTGTGTGTTCTGACGATGGTTCTGTGTGTGTGTGTGTGTTCTGACAGTCGTTCTGTGGGTGTGTGTTCTGACAGTCGTTCTGTGGGTGTGTGTTCTGACGATGGTTGTGTGTGTGTGTGTGTGTTCTGACAGTTGTTCTGTGGATGTGTGTTCTGACGATGGTTCTGTGTGTGTGTGTGTGTTCTGACAGTCGTTCTGTGGGTGTGTGTTCTGACAGTCGTTCTGTGTGTGTGTGTGTGTTCTGACAGTCGTTCTGTGGGTGTGTGTTCTGACGATGGTTCTGTGTGTGTGTGTGTGTGTGTGTGTGTGTTCTGACAGTTGTTCTGTGTGTGTGTGTTCTGACGATGGTTCTGTGTGTGTGTGTGTGTGTGTTCTGACAGTTGTTCTGCGGGTGTGTGTTCTGACGGTGGTTCTGTGTGTGTGTGTGTTCTGACGATGGTTCTGTGTGTGTGTGTGTGTGTGTGTGTTCTGACAGTCGTTCTGTGTGTGTGTGTTCTGACGATGGTTCTGTGTGTGTGTGTGTGTGTGTGTGTTCTGACAGTCGTTCTGTGTGTGTGTGTTCTGACGATGGTTCTGTGTGTGTGTGTGTGTGTGTGTGTGTGTGTTCTGACAGTCGTTCTGTGTGTGTGTGTTCTGACGATGGTTCTGTGTGTGTGTGTGTGTGTGTGTTCTGACAGTCGTTCTGTGGGTGTGTGTTCTGACGGTGGTTCTGTGTGTGTGTTCTGACGGTGGTTCTGTGTGTGTGTGTGTGTTCTGACAGTCGTTCTGTGTGTGTGTGTTCTGACGATGGTTCTGTGTGTGTGTGTGTGTGTGTGTGTGTGTGTGTGTTCTGACGATGGTTCTGTGTGTGTTCTGACAGTGGTTGTGTGTGTGTGTTCTGACGGTGGTTGTGTGTTCTGACGTTCGTTCTGTGTGTGTTCTGACGGTGTGTGTGTGTTTGTTCTGACGGTGGTTCTGTGGGTGTGTGTGTGTGTTCTGACGATGGTTCTGTCTGTGTGTGTGTTCTGACAGTTGTTCTGTGGGTGTGTGTGTGTGTTCTGACAGTCGTTCTGTGGGTGTGTGTGTGTGTTCTGACAGTCGTTCTGTGGGTGTGTGTGTGTGTTCTGACAGTCGTTCTGTGGGTGTGTGTGTGTGTTCTGACGGTGGTTCTGTGGGTGTGTGTGTGTGTTCTGACGATGGTTCTGTGTGTGTGTGTGTGTGTGTGTTCTGACAGTCGTTCTGTGGGTGTGTGTTCTGACAGTCGTTCTGTGGGTGTGTGTTCTGACGATGGTTGTGTGTGTGTGTGTGTTCTGACAGTTGTTCTGTGGGTGTGTGTTCTGACAGTCGTTCTGTGTGTGTGTGTTCTGACAGTCGTTCTGTGGGTGTGTGTTCTGACAGTCGTTCTGTGTGTGTGTGTTCTGACAGTCGTTCTGTGGGTGTGTGTTCTGACAGTCGTTCTGTGGGTGTGTGTTCTGACGATGGTTCTGTGTGTGTGCGTGTGTGTGTGTGTGTGTTCTGACGATGGTTCTGTGTGTGTGCGTGTGTGTGTGTGTGTTCTGACAGTTGTTCTGTGGGTGTGTGTTCTGACGATGGTTCTGTGTGTGTGTGTGTGTGTGTGTGTGTTCTGACAGTTGTTCTGTGGGTGTGTGTTCTGACGATGGTTCTGTGTGTGTGTGTGTGTGTGTGTGTGTGTGTTCTGACAGTTGTTCTGTGGGTGTGTGTTCTGACGATGGTTCTGTGTGTGTGTGTTCTGACGGTGGTTCTGTGTGTGTGTGTTCTGACGATGGTTCTGTGTGTGTGTGTTCTGACAGTCGTTCTGTGGGTGTGTGTTCTGACAGTCATTCTGTGGGTGTGTGTTCTGACGGTGGTTCTGTGTGTGTGTGTTCTGACGATGGTTCTGTGTGTGTGTGTGTGTGTGTGTGTGTGTTCTGACAGTCGTTCTGTGGGTGTGTGTTCTGACAGTCGTTCTGTGGGTGTGTGTTCTGACAGTCATTCTGTGGGTGTGTGTTCTGACGGTGGTTCTGTGTGTGTGTGTGTTCTGACGATGGTTCTGTGTGTGTGTGTGTGTGTGTGTTCTGACAGTTGTTCTGTGGGTGTGTGTTCTGACGGTGGTTCTGTGTGTGTGTGTGTGTGTGTGTGTGTTCTGACGATGGTTCTGTGTGTGTGTGTGTGTGTTCTGACAGTTGTTCTGCGGGTGTGTGTTCTGACGGTGGTTCTGTGTGTGTGTGTTCTGACGATGGTTCTGTGTGTGTGTGTGTGTGTTCTGACAGTCGTTCTGTGTGTGTGTGTTCTGACGATGGTTCTGTGTGTGTGTGTGTGTGTGTGTGTGTGTGTTCTGACAGTCGTTCTGTGTGTGTGTGTTCTGACGATGGTTCTGTGTGTGTGTGTGTGTGTGTTCTGACAGTCGTTCTGTGTGTGTGTGTTCTGACGATGGTTCTGTGTGTGTGTGTGTGTGTGTGTGTGTTCTGACAGTCGTTCTGTGGGTGTGTGTTCTGACGGTGGTTCTGTGTGTGTGTTCTGACGGTGGTTCTGTGTGTGTGTGTGTGTGTTCTGACAGTCGTTCTGTGTGTGTGTGTTCTGACGATGGTTCTGTGTGTGTTCTGACGGTGTGTGTGTGTTTGTTCTGACGGTGGTTCTGTGGGTGTGTGTGTGTGTTCTGACGGTGGTTCTGTGTGTGTGTTCTGACGGTGGTTCTGTGTGTGTGTGTGTGTGTTCTGACAGTCGTTCTGTGTGTGTGTGTTCTGACGATGGTTCTGTGTGTGTGTGTGTGTTCTGACGATGGTTCTGTGTGTGTTCTGACAGTGGTTGTGTGTGTGTGTTCTGACGGTGGTTGTGTGTTCTGACGTTCGTTCTGTGTGTGTTCTGACGGTGTGTGTGTGTTTGTTCTGACGGTGGTTCTGTGGGTGTGTGTGTGTGTTCTGACGATGGTTCTGTGTGTGTGTGTGTTCTGACAGTTGTTCTGTGGGTGTGTGTTCTGACGATGGTTCTGTGTGTGTTCTGACGATGGTTCTGTGTGTGTGTGTGTGTTCTGACAGTCGTTCTGTGGGTGTGTGTTCTGACGATGGTTCTGTGTGTGTGTGTGTGTGTTCTGACAGTCGTTCTGTGTGTGTGTGTTCTGACGGTGGTTCTGTGTGTGTGTGTGTGTGTGTTCTGACAGTCGTTCTGTGTGTGTGTGTTCTGACGATGGTTCTGTGTGTGTGTGTGTGTGTTCTGACAGTCGTTCTGTGTGTGTGTGTTCTGACGATGGTTCTGTGTGTGTGTGTGTGTGTTCTGACAGTCGTTCTGTGGGTGTGTGTTCTGACAATGGTTCTGTGTGTGTGTGTGTGTGTGTGTGTGTTCTGACAGTCGTTCTGTGGGTGTGTGTGTGTGTTCTGACAGTCGTTCTGTGGGTGTGTATTCTGACGGTGGTTCTGTGTGTGTGTGTGTGTGTTCTGACAGTCGTTCTGTGTGTGTGTGTTCTGACAGTCGTTCTGTGTGTGTGTGTTCTGACGATGGTTCTGTGTGTGTGTGTGTGTGTGTTCTGACAGTCGTTCTGTGTGTGTGTGTTCTGACGATGGTTCTGTGTGTGTGTGTGTGTGTGTGTGTTCTGACAGTCGTTCTGTGGGTGTGTGTTCTGACGGTGGTTCTGTGTGTGTGTTCTGACGGTGGTTCTGTGTGTGTGTGTGTGTGTGTTCTGACAGTCGTTCTGTGTGTGTGTGTTCTGACGATGGTTCTGTGTGTGTGTGTGTGTTCTGACGATGGTTCTGTGTGTGTTCTGACAGTGGTTGTGTGTGTGTGTTCTGACGGTGGTTGTGTGTTCTGACGTTCGTTCTGTGTGTGTTCTGACGGTGTGTGTGTGTTTGTTCTGACGGTGGTTCTGTGGGTGTGTGTGTGTGTTCTGACGATGGTTCTGTGTGTGTGTGTGTTCTGACAGTTGTTCTGTGGGTGTGTGTTCTGACGATGGTTCTGTGTGTGTTCTGACGGTGGTTGTGTGTGTGTGTGTGTGTGTTCTGACAGTCGTTCTGTGTGTGTGTGTTCTGACGATGGTTCTGTGTGTGTGTGTGTGTGTGTGTGTGTTCTGACAGTCGTTCTGTGGGTGTGTGTTCTGACGATGGTTCTGTGTGTGTGTGTGTGTGTTCTGACAGTCGTTCTGTGGGTGTGTGTTCTGACGGTGGTTCTGTGTGTGTGTGTGTGTTCTGACAGTCGTTCTGTGTGTGTGTGTTCTGACGATGGTTCTGTGTGTGTGTGTGTGTGTTCTGACAGTCGTTCTGTGTGTGTGTGTTCTGACGATGGTTCTGTGTGTGTGTGTGTGTGTTCTGACAGTCGTTCTGTGGGTGTGTGTTCTGACGATGGTTCTGTGTGTGTGTGTGTGTGTGTGTTCTGACAGTCGTTCTGTGGGTGTGTGTGTGTGTTCTGACAGTCGTTCTGTGGGTGTGTATTCTGACGGTGGTTCTGTGTGTGTGTGTGTGTGTTCTGACAGTCGTTCTGTGTGTGTGTGTTCTGACAGTCGTTCTGTGTGTGTGTGTTCTGACGATGGTTCTGTGTGTGTGTGTGTGTGTGTTGTTGACGCAGTGAAGCGGTTCGTACGGAAAGGCGTTCCCAACGAGCACCGGCCGCTGGTGTGGATGGAGTCCAGTGGAGCTCAGGAGAAGATGGAGAGGAACCCTGGGTATTATCACTCACTACTGGACCAACCACACGACCCTAAACTACAGGAGAGCATCCGCACCGGTCAGACCAACACACACACACACACATAATCCCTCTCTCTCACACACACATACACACTCACTCTCTCTCTCTCACACACACACACACACACACACACACACACACACACACACACACACACACACACACACACACACACACACACACACACACACACACACACACACACACACACACACACACAGCCTAATGCTTGGAAGCTTTATAATGGCAGTGAATTGCAACCATCAGATTGAAGCTCGAAAAGTGCATCTGTCCATGATAATAATGCACTTTTATGGACTTCGAAACAGAAACGGCCATTATAAAGCTGGGAAGAGCCAGGACATGTTTTAATATAACTCTGATTGTGTTCGTCTGACAGAAGAGTGTCACACACACTCTTAAAGAGAGTAAATCATCATCTTTGGGTGAACTCTCCCTTTAACATGTTCACCTCATTATTACAATAATTAATCTAATGACTTCAGGAAATGTTATGGACACATTCCTAATTTTACATGTTCAGCAACATCATCAGCATGAACTGTGTGTGTGTGTGTGTGTGTAGATCTGCACAGAACCTTCCCAGATAACGTGCACTTCCGTCGGTCGGCGGATCCGTGTCTGCAGTCGGCGCTGTATAACGTGCTGGTGGCGTACGGACACCACAATAAAGCTGTGGGATACTGTCAGGTACTGTCACACACACACACACACACACACACACACACACACACACACACACACACACACTCCCTCTCTCTCTCTGTCACACACACACACACACACACACACACTCCCTCTCTCTCTCTGTCTCACACACACACACACTCACACACTCACTCACTCAGAGTGCGAATTACCCCACCATAATTGGGGGGTACTGCTCCTTCCCTCATTTTTGAAAACACTCTTATCTGAATAATTTTATGTACCTTTATAAAAGGGCAGTTTTCCTTAATTTTATTTAATGTATGCTCTAAATTTCATTTCAAATTCTTACATTTTATTAATAGGCTACATTCAATTAAAATAATAAGACAGCCTAGCGGCCAATCAAATTAAATAATTTACATTGAAAAATTATAACTGTATTAAATGAGATGATGAGATTGTTTTGAATATTTTTTGAATAATATAAGGAATGTTGAAAAGAATGATACTTTGAAACTAAACCGCCAGTAGAAGCGGCAGGCGGCCGTCTTAGTGAGCGATACATTGAGTCATTCATTTAAACGATTCGTTCAAACGGCTGATTTATTCAGAATGAGGCGGTTTAATAATGGGTAACGTTAATTGAATCTTTGACTCGAGCGATTAGTTCAAAACGCTGAATCATTCAGTGATGAATAATGGATGAGTGTTGCTGTGAGATGCGCTGGTTCTGTTGTTTGGAACTATTTTCGCTGCTGAAACAGAACAAAAACAGTCATTGCGTCTAAAAATGTAAGTAACTTAATTTGAACTATTTTACTTGTTTATCGAACTGTTATGAAATCAATATCTCGGTTTCAATCGTGATGGCATTCAGGAAAACAGCACTCTGGTCGTGTGTAGCCTATATATTGTTTCTTAACTATAAATTAATGTTATAAATAACTGCGCGAGCCGCAACAGCGCAACTTTGTCCGTACATTAGCAGGAGCACAACAACAACAACTCACTCGGCTGGCTGCCCTTCTCTATCTCCACGGTGGTTAAAAATGGTACGGTCCACAATAGGGGTGTTCGCTGAAATCGCTTTACATTAAAATGTTCCTACAGTGAAAATAGGAGTTGACTTGTATTGTAACTGTAATTATATTTTTTCACAATATCAGAAAAATTATCTGACCCCCCCAAAACTGATATTTCTGTCCCTTTGGGGGACCCCCTGTAATTCGCACTATGCACTCACACACTCACTCTTTCACACACACACACACACACACACACACACACACACACACACACACACACACACACACTCTCTCTCTCTCTCACACACACAGCATAATAAAGCTTCAGGAGGATCTCCTGTAACGGATCTTCTGCTCTTCTGATGCATGCTGGGATACGTGGATCTTGTGTCCCGGCGCTTCAGTTTGTGTAACCAATGCAAAGTTTGCAAAATATTTCCAATGCAAACGATTGAGTGCCGACGAGACGCTCGTGATCCAGAACCGACACACCGCGAGCGCTCCAGCACTTCCTCTGACTCGATGTTATTGAGGGGGAAAATTAATATTATTTCAGCTGGGTTTTTTTTTTAGCATTTTAAATTTGAATTGTTTTTAATATAATTAAATAATTGTGCACTTTAATTCAGTTTTAATTATCTTCAATATATTTTTTAAAGAATTGTTTTAAAAAATTTAGTTTATTTCTAATATAGTTAAATATATTTTGGTTTTAGCATTTTAATTGTTTTAATTATTTTAATATTAAATGTTTTTTTTTTAGCTTTAAGTTTGAATTATTTCTAATGTAGTTAAATATTTTTTTTGTGGCATTTTAATTCAGTTTTAATTATCTTCAATATATTTATTATAACTTTTGTTTTTAAGTTTAATTATTTCTGATAACGTTAATATGTTGTGGTTTTAGTTTTTGTTTAGTTATAGTTACTTGTAATATAATTAAATGTTTTGTTTAAAAAAAATTGGTTCTCTGTGTGTGTGTGTGTGTGTGTGTGTGTGTGTTTCTCACACTCGTCCTCCTGCAGGGAATGAACTTCATCGCAGGATATCTGATCATCATCAGTAAAGACGAGGAGACGTCCTTCTGGCTGATGGAGGCGCTACTGGGCAGAATCCTGCCAGGTGTGTGTGTGTGTGTGTGTGAGAGTGAGTGAGTGAGTGAGTGAGTGTGTGTATGTGAGTGAGTGAGTGTGAGTGTGTGTGTGTGAGAGTGAATGAGTGAGTGTGTGTGTGTTTGTGAGAGTGAGTGAGTGTGAGTGTGTTTGTGAGAGTGAGTGAGTGTGTGTGTGTGTGTTTGTGAGAGTGAGTGTGTGTGTGTGTGTGTGAGTGAGTGAGTGTGTGTGTTTGTGAGAGTGAGTGAGTGAGTGAGTGTGTGAGAGTGAGTGTGTGTGTGTGTGTGTGTGTGTGTGTGTTTGACGGTGTTCCTCACCCTCAGATTACTACGGTCCGGCTATGCTGGGTCTGAAGGCGGATCAGGAGGTTCTGGGAGAGCTGGTGCGGCTCAAGGTTCCGGCGGTCTGGCGGCTCATGCAGGATCACGGGGTCATGTGGTCTCTGGTGGTCTCACCCTGGTTCATCTGCCTGTTCATCGACGTCCTGCCCGTGGAGGTACGGGAGCGTGATCATGTGACCCGGCGATCATGTGACATGGCGATCATGTGACATGGCGATCATGTGACCCGGCGATCATGTGACATGGCTAACACGTGACCCGGTGATCGTGTGACCCCGGTGATCATGTGACCCGGTGATCATGTGACCCGCCGATCACGTGACCATGGTAATCATGTGACCCGGCAATCATGTGACCCTGGTGATCATGTGACCCGGCGATCACGTGACCTGGCAATCGTGTGACCCCGGTGATCATGTGACCCGCCGATCACGTGACCATGGTGATCATGTGACCCGGCAATCATGTGACCTGGTGATCATGTGACCCAGCGATCGTGTGACCCGTCGATCATGTGACCCAGCGGCTCCGCACTGACCCTCTGCTTCTGCCCCCGTCAGACGGTGCTCCGGATCTGGGACTGTCTGTTCTACGAGGGCTCGAAGATCCTGTTCCGTGTGGCTCTGACTCTGATCCGACGCCATCAGGACCTGATCCTGCAGGCCCAGAACCTGCCCGACGTCTGCGAGCGCTTCAAGCGCATCACCAGCGGAGCCTTGGTCCACGACTGCCACGCCTTCATGCAGGTGAAACTCCAGCCGCACGCTCACCCTTCACTCGCGCAGGGCCGGTTAGAGTAGCACCGAGAGCCGAGAAACTGAACACCCGTCGGCTACTCTCGGCCGGACTCGCTTGTCCCAGTCATGCTTATTCCAGTGCGCTTCTCACAATACACATCGATTCAAAGCAGTCAGCAGTGAGTGTGATCTACACACCCATCACACCTGGCCAGAAGTAGCGTTTCCGTAATGATGAAGGTCATGTGACTGAAACATCACTGAATAATTTCTGTTTTCCAGGCGATCTTCCTGGATCCCGGGAGTCTGTCCAAGTCCAGCGTGTCGAAGCTGCGCGAGAGCTGCCGCGCGCGGATCGTAGCCGGAGAATCCTGACTTACACACTCAAACATTCCCACTGTTAGCGTGCAGACGCTCACTCAGTAGTGCGCTAACAGACTCCATGAAGAGGTGTATTTTCTTACGTTTGTAGAACTGTGTGTATAGCTGTAGAATAATCACCGATGCTGGACTCGAGATGTCTTTAATGCTGAACCGCTCTCATTTCTTCTTAGTTTGAGACCAAGAATACTGTGAAATAAAACTGACTGTAAACCATCGGCGTGTCGTGAGCTGTGTGTGCTATAGTGAGAGTTGGACGTGTTTGGTCGCTCAATTCCTCTCAAGGCAAAGAAAAATCAAAATGGTGGACAAACAAAATGATGGAAAATTGGATCATCAGAATCGGCATAAACCAAGAAATGCAAGGACAGAGAAAACAAAATTTGGATACATTTTTTTCCCCCAAAAAATCTGTATATCTCTGGAACACTAGGGGGCGCTGTGCTCAAACTTCTCAGGTTCCTTCAAGACATGCTGTCGATGATCCATACCAAATTTTGTGCCGATATGTCAAGACATTTAGAAGATTTTGCAATTTATGACAAATTTCAAAATGGCCTCGGAATGCTCAAAATGCAAAATTTTAAGATACAGCCTCGATTAACCACATCACAACTTTTGAACAAAGATACATTTAAAAAACCTGTTCAGTCATTTCTGTTCAAATCGGTCCAAAGATCATCTGAGCCTATCTCGGTAAGAATTGGGCAAATTTAGCAGGAGTTGTTGTGAACTAACTGTACTTCTCAAAATGGCCGCTACTGTAGTGGGCGGAGTCTTAATGCGATCAGCGTGAGGATCTCATGTCTCTAGAACAAAGGGTTCATAGGGGAAAACCATTTGAAAGGTGAATTCTTGAACTGGTGGTGGCGCTGTAGAGTTAATCCTAGAAACCCCAGTTTCCCATTCCCCCAAAATGCCCATGATTTTCCGGCTCATAGACTCCCACTGGAGATGAAGAAGCCTCTCGCGACTAAATCAATGAGACTTTAAAACTGAAAATGTATCAAAATATTGATAAATACTATTCTAGCATATAATAATTCTAAAAGAACACTGTATATAATAATTTGAAGCATTAGTCTTATATTAACTAGGACCAATATTTAGATGTGGACTTAAACACACACTGTTGCATTCTGGGAGTCATCACTGTTATTATTAAACACAGACACAGAGTGCAAGTCATTATTTATTTATTAACCTCAAACCCTGATGCATAAAAATAATGAAACATTCGCTACAAAAGAAACCAGCAAACACGGCACTGGAGTCACATGACCCAATGACACGTCATGTGACCCATCAAGCTCACCATGATTAAGAACTCCAAAGCAGATCAAACCCATGAAACATGATCGTGTGCTTCATCATCATCGTCATCATCATCATCATCAGGATCTGTGTGTCATTCTGATGATGATGATGATGATGATGATGAAGACGACGTGCACTTTAAACACAGCGAAGAGTTTCTTATAAACATCCCAGAAAAGCACAACAGACTTTCAGACTCACATTCATGTTGAACAGGCACAGTCTCACAAATTCCCTTTTCACTCCAGCAACAAACTGACCCTTCATCATCATCATCAGTTACACTGACAGCTGCTGATCGTGTGTGTGTGTGTGTGTGTGGGGGGGGGATCATGGGTAATTCACCAGCGGCTCTATACAGGTTTCATGTTTCTATATAACTAAAACAGACAGAGAGTGAGACTGGCATTTAACGCCACCTGATATTAATAATTTATGTTTCTGTCTCACTCACACACACTTATATTTTCTATCCTCTACGCAAACCCCTTACAGAAACTTTATGCATTTCTACATTTGGAATAAAATGGTTCAGTATGTTTACCCATGTGACGGTGACAGTTGATGAGACCTGAACCCTGAACACACACACTACAGGATGAGCACATGTATGTAGTACACACACACACTTATGTAAATGCTATTATTTTTACATGAAGCCAATTAAAATGACTACAAACACAAAGAAAACATACATTAAAACTAACATTAAACAAGATTCATAACTGCTTTAAAATAGATTGCTCATTGTTAATGTTAGTTAATGCATTGACTGATGTCCACAGACGAGACCTTATTGTAAGTGTTGCCGAAAACATGAAACAGTTTTAGAACAAAAACATAATAAAATGAATGATTTTTCTAAAAGAGGACGAGTGAAGGTTTGCCAGACTCGTTTGATATGAACTGGCTGATCTCACTCGTGACCTCTGACCTAAAGCAATCATTATTTACACACACAGATTCTTTAATATAACGGCTTTAGAGAAACAAACTGAACAACAGAAAACGAGTCGCTGAGAGACAGACGACAGTCGCACACACACACACACACACACACACCAGTGTCCCCTGACCTCACAGCAAGGAAGAACCAGCTCTCGCTCACACACACACTCCTTCGGTCCAGCTGCAGCCAATCGCAGCCCAGACGGAGGATGATGATGATGATGATGAAGATCAGATGGTCTGGTACCCGGCGTGTGTTCTCTTCCTCCCGATCAGATACGCGATGAGGACGATCAGCACCAGCCCAGCCAGAGCCGCTCCAACGATGATGGGAATCAGCATGTTCTCCTGATCCAGACGACACTCCTCCGCTGTACACACACACACACAAAATGTCATTGCTCTGGAATACTTGATTGTGATTGGTCAGTGGCGTTATTCTATTTGATTTTGAATGTTACACACAGAACTGCAACATTAATGACGGTTTCAAACACAAGTCCACCATTGGTCAGTCAGACAGATGGCCCGCCCTAAACTCACGTGATTGGTTGAGTCAGAAGTTGTGTCACAGACTCTTTAGGAATCAAACTCACAGTGACTGACTGAACCATCATCCTTCCCTCGGGTCATTTAGACCTGAAACTATTTATTTATTTATTTTTAATTGAGTGTTCATCCGAGGGGTCCAAGACTCCAGGACTTGTCGCGCTTGAACCACAAGTGCACACACAATTTCTTTTTTAAAAGGATTCGAGGAGTTGTGGTTGAAGTTTTAAAAAAGTAACAAATCCTTCACTCTCGGGTCAATCTGACCCCCTTAGGAATGAGTGGAATGTTTCAGTACACACAGAAAAACCTAAAAATGCTAAAACTTTACCAATAAATGAGTGTATAATGTGTAGATGTGTGTGTGAGCGCACACTGAAGAGAAACTGGCTTTAGGACCCAGCGGAACAGCTCCTCTGCTCCATATAGAGCTATAAGCCCATCTAGAGGCATCAAATATCATGTGTTATTATTATATTCCACAAGAGGTCAAAGACTCCCAGTGTAAGATATTTAGAGCTGAATTAAAAGAGTTATGCATGAAATTGTGAGTTATTTTGAATCTAAGAATGTGAGGAATGTGCTTAATTTTTTTATTATTATTATATTATTATTTATATTATCATCTAGTAATTTAAAAGGTAAAAAAAAAATAATACTAAATATATTCTAAATGAAATAAAATAAGCTTTCTGAACAAATAAAGTAAGTATAATTGTATGTTCCCTCAGGGAAAGACGAGTTGCAGAGCGAGACTGGACAGGAGGCGTTGGGCAGCGGATCACATGACCCGGGTCAGTACCTGCAGAGAAGCGGCTCTCGGTGACGTTGAAGGGCTGGAGCTGCAGGCTGAAGGTGTTGATGGAGAAGCCGGGAACCACAGCGAGCGTCTGCTCAGCGCTGCACATGTAGGAGCGGCCCACGCTGCACTGCAGCAGCTCCAGAGAGACGTTACTCGCCTCGAACCGATCTGTCAAACCACCAGAACAACATCACACTTCATCAGCTGGGCTTTATCAGTCACAGACACTGATCATCCTTCGGAACAGCACATTTTTTAATATATATATATATATATATATATATATATATATATATATATATATATATATATATATATATATATATATATATATATATATATATATATATATATATATATATATATATATATATATATATATATATATATATATATATGGGGGGGGGGCAACTTTGCTTTTCATTTATTACTTAAAGCTCACTTGAAGTTCTTCGAGACCACATCAAACACTACTAGCATACTGATAAAGTTCAAGCATTATTAAAAACAAGTGGACAGTCAGTAATAAAATAAGAACAAATACACACATTACAAGCAGAGATTAACACTAAATAACAAAGTTGCAAAGTCTAATATTAGTATTCAGGTACAGAAATGAATAATTAAGCCTAAATGTAAAATAACACTCTTTGTTCACTGTAGAAATGAAATATAGTTTAATCTTTGTTAAAGCTGTATTGTGTTGTTTTATGAACATTAATGACACAGATGACAGCAGGAATATTAGGCTACTTTCACTTTAAGACTGAATAAACTGACACACATCCGGCTTCTTCCTCGACTCGTGAGAACACGTATAAAGAATTTGTAAAGGCCAGAATTTTTGGTTGATTATAAATTTAAATATAACTTTTTTCTGGACCAGTGGTGTTATAGTGAGGCTCTTTGTACATTTGAAAACAACTTAATCTTTACACCAACATTGGAATGATCTTGTATTTAGTATAATAGTGTATGTGGAACATCGCTGTCATGTGGATATTTATGCTGGTTTTTGTTTTATGAAAATTTATAATTGTGTATTTGTATGGATGATTGAGTGAAAACAATCTGCGGGAAACATGACGACAGCAGGACGTGACTGTGTGTGTGTGAGCGAGTGTCTGTGTGTGTGTCTGAAAGCCCTGACTGAAAGCACTAACACTGGAGTCTAGAGTCCTGTGGAGGGATCAGATGAAGTGTCTCTGTGTGTGTGTCAGTGTGTGTGTGTCAGTGTGTGTGTGTCAGTGTGTGTGTGTCAGTGTGTGTGTGTCAGTGTGTGTGTGTCAGTGTGTGTGTGTCAGTGTGTGTGTGTCAGTGTGTGTGTCAGTGTGTGTGTGTCAGTGTGTGTGTGTCTGTCTGTGTGTGTCTGTCTGTGTCTGTCTGTGTCTGTCTGTGTCTGTCTGTGTCTGTCTGTGTCTGTCTGTGTCTGTCTGTGTCTGTCTGTGTCTGTCTGTGTCTGTCTGTGTCTGTCTGTGTCTGTCTGTG